CTGCCTTACCATCCTGGCTTCCCTTAATCATAATCATTATCCTCAACAAACAACACAGGAAAGGGAGACTTGGGGGATGGGAGCCCACTCAGCAGGCTGTCTCACTGAGGGCTGCAGTCTTGTGACATAGCTCCTTAAGAACTGAATATTCACCTTTCCTATCCCAGTCTCCCTAACCAGATCTTCAGCATTAGGTCTTGAAGAATGTGCAAAGTTAACAGTCCTTAACCATCCTTTGGAGTTGGTGGACTAGGTGAGAAGGTGGAGCCTTCAGTCTGCCAAACAGCTAAGAAGGACAGCGGGGCAGAATGAGGCAGAGATCTCATGAATAGCACACGAGTGGCTGGCCATGCTTAACATGAAATCATAACCCCTTAACAGTAGCACGAAGAGCCCCTGCTAGCCTCAGCATCTTCCTGGTTTTACTCCAGGCTGAAAGGACCCTGGTTTTCCTTCTATGATTTCACTGAAGCAATTCCTTCCCTGGCTGTCCTACCTACACAAATAAATACTTTCAAGTTGTTTTTTTTTTTTTTTCTTTCCACACAGACCTGTCCATGAGATCTGAGCAGCCCACATTACTGTGACTGCCTCTGTGTTTCATGATCATATTTAGTAGTTCTGCCTTTTGTTATGTTGAGCTTGGGGCATATTTGAAAGACGGTGGCCTTTTTGTACACAGTGTAAAATCAAGAGGCAAACCTGGAACTACATTGTAAGCCAGGCTTGACTGGCAGTTGGGTAAGGGGCCACAAGGGCTGTGAAATGGCAGCTTCATGCGAATCAAGAACTACATCACGTGTGTGTGATGTAAATCTTTTCGTTGTTCTTCTGGTTTTCTTGAAACAGGTTCTCACTCTGTAGCCTATGATGACCTGGAACTCATTGTGTAACCCGGGCTGACCTCAAATCCTTATAATCCTCCTTCCTCAGCCTCCTAAGTGTTAGATTACAAGCATGTGTCAACATGACTGGCATATGTAATAAAACCATTATTCGCAGAAAAATAGTTTTCTGAATTCATCAAGGTGGAATCAAGGTAAGGCTGTGTGAGTAGGTAGATGAGGTATAACTTCAAAGAGAGTTAGTGCCTCAGAGGACAGGAAGTTTAATAGAAGTCTATTATATGAGGTGGCCACTAGGAAACCTAGTGTACTATTGGGTTGCACTGATAGAAGTGTGTAGTCCTGATCTGAGGAGGTGATGGTCCCGTTCTGTCCTATCCTGCACAGCATTGTCTGAAACCCTGAATTCTTTGCTGTCATCCTTCAAGAGACTGACAAAAAGAATCGAAATCATGTCATGTGAGAACAGTTGAAAGAATTGCAGCTGTTTGGCCTGTGGATAAACAGTTTCAGAGAGCACAGTACATGACCAAAGCTTCTGAGTCCTAGATGACCAGGATTAGGAAAGAAAGGTTAGATTTCAAGCTACCTGTGACTTCACAGGGAAGATGCAGGACCATTGAATGGGAGCATGAAGGGGCTCCTACCTTTCTCCTCTTTGAGGTAGTGGCTCTTCAGCTGGCCAGAGGCCAAGACACCTGGAGGACACTGCTCTTTAGAAAATGCCATGCTCTTTCCAAAATAGTGATAGAGCAGAAACACGGCTGAGTGAGGCGGTCGTGTTCCAGACACACTGAGCAGTGCTTGGTTCCTGTGATGAGCTTTTGCTAATCTCATTATTTCAAGGCCTGTCCTCCAGGCTCCATCTTTTCCTGGCCTCCCGTTCTTTCTCTCAACAAGATGTAAGCATACCATCTTTCACCTTGGAGTGGGACTTTTGTGTAGAGTTTTAGGCCTACCCTAGATTCCTTTTTAAGAGAGAAATAGACTTCCTAAGCACTTGACCTACCTTGGGAAGTGGGTTGAGAGGGCTCTAGACATTGGTTGTATACTCCTTTATGCAGGGTCTGAAGACAGGAAATAGGCTTGACTGTTACAGGGGCAGCTTAACGTTAGTCTGGCCAGAACCAAGGTGTCCTGGTCCCAGGCCCAGGGTATTTCCTTTACAACTTGAGGCCTAGTTCAGTTTTCTACATCAAGCTTCATGGGCCTTTGTGGCCTCCAAACCAACTTCATTCCTCAAAGCTATTCATTTCTACTGTTCACGCCAGCTTTCTTATAGGACCAGACAGCTCTTTCACCCCCCTGTCTTCTTGGTACCTGGAGAATATCCTCTTTTAGGAACTCCCCTCATCTCTGACTACTCACTCTTACCCATTCTCCAAAATCAGGACAACTCTGTTTCCCCAGGAAGCCTTCCCTGGCTATTCTTGTGAGCTGTCAACTAGTCTTAGGGCCTCTAACCTCTATCTAGTCTAGTACCTGGTATATATGACATTCTGGCTCAACGTGTCTACTTCAATGAACTATGCTGTCCCCCAGTCTTGTTCCCCCAGTTCCTCCTCTATCTCACTGCCAGGAAGCATCTACTCCCAGGGCTTGATAGTCCAGAAAGAAGAAACTCGGTCTTGTGAAATGGAATTAAGAGGAGACAGCTGGCTTGTTTGAGGATGAGTAAGAGCAGACAGGAGTTGGGGGATTCTGGGGAATGAGTAGGTGGGAGCCAGGGAGCAGAAACGTACATATTGAAGAATTGTGGGAGTTTCAGGGGGATAGATGGATTGAAGAATTCATTCATTATTCCAAGAAACATCTTTTGAGCATCTGCTGTGTGCAAGATGCTGCACCAGAAGTAGGGAATAGAATAATCAAGAAAGCAAGCTTGGCAATCCAGTGGGAGAAACAGATCCTAAACAACTAAAGCACACAACCGAAGTCACAGTGAGGAACAGGTGAGTGGTAGAAACACAGGAAAAGGAGATGTGAATGAGAACAGTGAGATGGGTGTCAGGTAAACTGCCTGTGGGAACGTGCTGTTTGGCTCAGACCACGGACTGAGGATGTCCTGGGATGCTCTGACAGGGAGTGACTGCTTCTTGCTCCCTGGCATGTCAGGGACTCCCCCAGAGTCCCTTCCAAGAGGGACTTTCTCCGTCCTCTTCTTTTACAGCCCTAGGTAAGTTTTCAGAAATAGGCATGAGGAAGGGCCAGTGTAGCCCTGCTCCCATTGGTAGTGAAACCTTTAACCACACTGCCAGTTCTATTGTGGGACTGGGAGAGCTATTAATAGTGTGGTGATATTTAATATTTAATGAGCTCTGTTGATGAAGAGCTCTTACCTGAGTTCTCCAACACTGTGTATTTGTATATATCCTCCTAGAGATGGGAAAGGTACCCAAAGTCTTGGCGGGAAGAGGGAAGGAAGAATACAACCTGGACAGCCTGTCTTTAGCATGCCAGGCTCATGTTCTTGGCACAGAAGCTGAAGGTGCATTCTGTCTAGGGTAGGCCTGCCTACTGATGGAAAAGGCATCAGCCACTAGCATGCAGATTGCAGAGCTCATGGTAGGAGCCTCCACTGAGTTTCCTGTGGTCCCCAGAGCAGTCCCTGAAGATGCTAGCTTCCAGAAAACCTCTGCTCTCAGCTGGCCTGCTGCTCCCAGCCCTGCTTAGTCAGAATCATGGGCTCAGAAAGGCCAAGCAGAGATCATGATGTGTGGCTAGTGGTTTAGAGAAGAGGGGGAAGAATTATGTGATAGCAGGAAGGGAGATAAGAGAGACAGAGGAAAACATTGGCACAAGATTGAGCCACTTATCAACAACCTCTTCATCAACTTCAGACAGAACCTCATTCAGATTGGAGCTTCTGAGATAGAATAATGAGGCAATCTCAGGAAGCTCCCTTAGAAAGAACTGGTTTGAGTGTCTTTAATTATAGAGAGACCCCAAGAAGTTATTGAGGGGTCTGGCCTTGGAGCAAGAGGTATGCTCAACAGTACCAGGAAGTCAACTGGGTGTATCCTACTATATCTTTGGTATGACCTCTGGCCAGCCTCCTGGCCTCTTCCAGGCTACTTAGAAAATGAATAAGATCATGTACAAGCAGATGAACTACAAATTACTCTCCTTTTTTTTGAGTGGGGGGTCCTGGTTTAATGGTGATGAAGGGGTTGGTGATTTCCTTTCCCCATCAGTGGTTCCCAGGGGAACTTTTGTGGGAGAGGGTGAAGAGGTGTTTCTTCTCTTCACCAGATGGCATCTATTTGGGGCTGTGTTGAGGCCAGCCTAGAGACAAAAGAGCTTTCTTCTCAGAGGGGAATCCCATGAGAGGGCAGGCACAAGGGGAGCTGAGACCCTGCCCCTTCCCCTATGCCATATCTGTGAGTCCTGTTGTCATAGTGGCACCTTCACTGTTGATAGAGGGAAGGCCTTGTCCTGCTGCTGGTTCAGTTTACAAAGGTCAGTAATCGGGAAACATTTGAAAACCCTTGCTCTTATATCAGTGGGATGGAGGAGGAGACAGGCCCAGACTGTTGACTTTGAGTTCTTTTCAACAATTTGTCAAGAGTATAAACTTCAAGCATACATATACTAAAGAAGAAAGTAAAATGAACTCTCAGGCACGCATCAAACAACTTCAAAAATTGTCAACACAAGACTAATGTTTTGCCCATGCCCTCCCCCCATAATTCTAAATAGTTCTTTTTGTGTTTAGCATCAGCATGTTTCTCTTCCTAAAGTCATGTAAAACAGACCATAATATTATCACATCTAAAAATAATTCTTTAACATCATAAAGTTTTCCTTGGTTTGAAACTAGTCCATATATTGCATTTAGTTGACCTTTTGTTGTTTATTTGATTTTTTTTTTTGAGACAGGGTTTCTCTGTGTAGCTTTGTAGATCAGGCTGGCCTCAAACTCACAGAGATCTTCCTGCTTCTGCCTCCAGAGTGCTGGGATTAAAGGTGTGCACCACCATTGCCCGACTTTAGTTGACCTTTCTTTCTTGCTTGCTTGTTTATTTGGTTTGTTTTTTGTTTGTTTGTTTTTGCTTTGTTTTGTTTTAAGAAAGGGTTTCTCTGTGTACCCCTAGCTGCCCTTGAACTCACTTTGTAGACCAGGCTGACCTCAAACTCATAGAGATCTGCCTGTCTCTGCTTTCTGAGTGCTGGGATTAAAGGCATGCAGTGTACCACCACTACTCAGCTGACCTTTTTTTTTTTTAATTTTATTTTATTGGTTGTGTGTGCATGGAAACCAGAATAACTTTGTGGAGTCAGTTCTGTCCTTCCATCTTTACTTGGGTTCTGGGATCAAACCCAGCTTGTCAGACTTGTGCATCCTGGGCTTTTACCTGGTCCTAGTTGGCGTTTCTTTAATCTATAGTCCTTCCTTCTACTTTTTTTTTTCTTGCAATTTATCTATTTGAACATCTTTTGTTGTTGCAGTTTTCTACACTCTGGATTTTGTTGATCACATCCCTGGGGTGTTTTTAATCCTGTTCTCTCTCCTACATTTCTGTAAACTAGTAGTAGATCAGATTCGGATTCAACTGTTTATGAAGAATGCCTGGTAGATGCACTGTGCACTTCTCCTCTCCCCTCTGAAGTGTGATTGTGTCCATCGTCCTCTGCACAGTTGTCCCACTTTTTGTGGGTTCAGACTGATTGATGGGGTAGTTAGCCTGATTACAACCTATTACAGAGGTTCTGCAGCGTCCGTTTACCTAATGTTCTCAGCAGTCCCTGATGGTCATTGCCTTGTGCATTATTTCATTAGGAGTTTCCTCGTCCCCATTAGCATCCCCGGCCTCTCTTCTTTGCATCTGCTTTTCCCACACTGTCCTTAACCCGTACCATCATTTCTTTGCCTCATCAACCCAAGATGCCCTAACAGCACTTCAGGCCTGGAAGACTCCATCTGCTTCCCTGGTGGCCTGCACTTCCCTGAGGGGAGGGTCCTGACTTGGATCTGTTCTCACTGAGGCAGCTCTCTGAATCCTGCTAGGGCCATGCCTGACCCACACTGGGGAGTGCAAGCAGCCCAGGCTGTTCCTCCTCCTGAGAGTTCTGCAGAGAGCTGGCTTTATTCCCCCTTCCCATGACTTTCTCAGGAGCCCTCTTCTGTACTGGGGAGAGTCTTCCATACTGTTTCCTCAGCTTCCTGCCCAAGCCTGGGCCCTGGCAGGGATCCAAGCCTGGCTTCCTGTTTACAGGCAGAGAGAGAGGTGAGGGGGGCATGGGAAGGGCAACTCCAGCACTCATGTCCCTTTTTCTCTCCTGCCAAGTTTAGACACCTATGAGGGCCAGCGCAGTTACCATCCTCTGGTACTTTGGCATCCCTGTGCCTCTCATGATCACCACTCCTGTTGGATTCTTCGGCTCAGAGGAGAGACTATGGATACCGTGCTCTGTGTATTCATGCGCCCCAGACAGAAAAAGCAAATGCACCACTTTCTCCATGGGGCAGCTGAGCAGGAAGCACAGAGCTGAGAGCTGCTGCTTGCAGACCCTGGCCTACCTACACAAGTCCAACCCAACAGAGCTTCTGGGTGGAGCAGGAAGCCTTCGAGGTGTAAGGGGCCAGGGGCTAATTATGAGAGCCAGAAGACATCAGGTATGCTATGGTGGTGGTCATTGCCAGGTGCAGTCAATTCTCAGCATCTGTGAGGGACTGGCTCTAAGACCAGTGCCCCCACCCTCTGCCAATACCAAAACCCATGGATATGCAAGCACATTACTTATTGATAGCCATGGTGGCATGTGCTAGGAGTCTCAAGGATTGCTTGAGTACATGAGTTCAGTACTGGCCTGGACAACATAGGCAGACAATGCCTCAAAGAAAAACAAAACTGAAAGCTTAGGATACCATACACGTACACTCTGTACACTTGAAACCCTCCCAAAGTTCCGTGCAATGACTAACACAATGTGCATGTTATATAAATAGTATTTTGTTTGTTAGTTTGATTTGGTGTGGTTTTGAGACAATGTCTTACTATGTAGCCCTGCTAGCCTGTAGCCCTGCTAACCTAGAACTCAGAGATCTACCTGCTTCTGCCTAAGTGGTGGGATTAAAGGTCTGTGCCACCATGCTGGGTATAAATGGCTATTATACTATATTGCTTAAGGAATAATGAGAAAAAGTCTGGTTACATTGATATATGCAGGACTCACTAATTCACAGGACCAACCCTGTAGGATTTCTGCTAAGAGACAACGGGGGTGCCTTACCCTCATTCCTCCATATGCCTGGCTCTTCCTTGAACAGTGAGAACCTGAAGGGCCATATTCTGCTCCAAGAGAGGACCTGCTATGGATTAATTATTTTCACCACTCTCCTGGATGGCCCCAACAAGAATTGTATGAAACCCAATCTCTCTCATCCCATTAAGAGAGATTATCAGTGATCTGCAGTGGCACACATCTTTGATCCCAACACTTGGGAGGCCGAAGTGGGATTATGAATCCAAGGCCAACCTAATCTATATAGTGAAACCTTCTGTCTCAAAATAATGAAGCAACCAACAGAAACTGGATGTGGTGGTGCACACTTGGGATCCCCAGTAATCATGAGGCTGAAGCAAGAGGATTGCTTCAAGTTTGAAGTCAGCCCAGGCTGCATAGTGTTTCAAGGTGAACCTGGAACATACAGTAAAATCCTATCTGAGCTTCCCAAACTCCCTAAAAGAGCACAAAGAGACATAGCATGTAGCTAGGTAGCAGGGAAGCCCGTTATCCCTCACATGCCAAGGCTCAAATTCTGAGCAGGGAATGGCAGTGGGCACCTATAATCTCAGCACTTGGGAGATGGAGGCAGGAGGATCAGGACATCAAGGGCATTCTCAGCTACATAGTAAGTTCAAGGCCATCCGGCCTACATGAGAGCCTGTCTGAAAACAAGAAGACTCAGATCCTTCAGATGGCCTGCGAGGCCTCAGCTAGTCTTCCTGCAACCTTTCTGTCCAGCTCACTCCTTCCCATTGCCTCTACCACTGACTGCACGCTGCTTTGATTTTCCTCCAGGTCTGCTTCCTTTTGCTTCAGGGATTTTGCACATATAGTTTTATTTTTGGAGTGTTTTGTTCTCCTTTGGGTTGGCTCCATCTCATTGTCTGGGCTTGCTTCTGGGACCTTCTCTCCTTATTGCACTTTTCACAGGTGTCATTTGAGAAGTATATAGATAACTGTTCTATTGAGATAGGGTCTTATGAAGTCTGTGTTCACTAAGGCAGAGACCATTTCTGTTTTTATGTTATTCCTCTACAAAGTACCTGTCACATAGTAGACTTTCTGAATACCTGTTGAGTGAATGAGTGAATGAATGAAAATTTCAGTCTTATCTCCTTTACTTAGTAACCTATGTCATTCCATCACACTTAACATGTGTCCTGTGTTGGTGAACATTTACCAGACATGCAACATTTCACTTATTCTTTGCAACTCTGTAAAAGAGGTATCCTCAATCTACAGAGAGAGAACTGAGACCTAAAGTCACACAGCTAATTGGGAAGCCACTTCAACCCAGGTGTGTGGCCTCAAAGCCCATTCTCTTAACCATAGTACCACACTGCCCCCTTTTGGCCTGTCACAGAGTTGCCACTGAGTCCTGGTTAATTTCAGCAGAGAGGTCTGTGGGGCCCAGCTGTGAAAGGACATGGGTGATGGAATTTAGCCTGGGGTCATGCATCTCAAGGTCTGTGGCCCCATATGCTTTCTATGGACCCTTTGCCACTTCCAGGCTGAATACAGCATCTTGTTTTAGAGAAAAGAAAGGCCGGCTGTTTTAAATGGCCTGATCTGCAGTGTGCAGGGAGTAAACAAGCACTGACTAAGATTCCGTTAAAAATAATTGAGAGGGAGAAAGGAGCATTTGTATCTTTGTGATGCAGTCACTAAAAACAGCACTCTGGAAATTAGCTTTCAGGTGGCATTCCTGGGAAATGCAGACCCCGAGAGAGGGCAGCCTCTTAGTCTTGATTACAGCAAAGCTCGCGTTATCCAACTTCCCAGGGCTTCTCTGGTGGCAGGGAAATTGGAGCTGACGAATACTTTGGACTATATGGGGACATGCAAATGAGAAATAGGTGGCATAAATATAAAACCCAGCTCCCATTTGTTGACAGGCATGCTGTAAAACATTCTACATTCATTATTCCCTCCACTCAAGGTAACACGGCACCCATAAAAGGGAAGAGGCATTCATGAAGTGACTTGCCAACAGTAACACAACAGCTGGCCTTCCTGACTTTGAAACCAGAGCATCCCCTAAACTGAGTGGGTGGTGATAGACACCTGGCGATGGGGCTTCATCCCTATTTCTAGGACTATGGTTAAACTAGAAAAACAGCAACTGTATAAAGACTTCCATTCACTAGGCATTATAATTGTTCTTGAGTAAATACATCTAGGTGTGGTGGTCCACTCCTGTAATCCCAGAACTCTGGAGACTGCGGCTGGAGGATCACAAGTTCAAGGCCAGAGTGAGCTCTGTGGTGAGACACTGCCTTAAAAATGAAAACAAATAGGTATATAATTTTACAAGGTAGCATTAAAATACTTGCTATAAATATAATAGCTGCAACATCAACATAGTGAAATTTTAAAATGCAAATAGGCTAGGCATGGCAATGCATACCTTTAATCCCAGCACTCAGGATGCAGAGGCAGGAGAATTTCTGTGAGTTCGAGGCCAGCCTGGCCTACATAGGGAGTTCAGAGACAGCCAGGAATACACAGAGAAACTGTCTCAACCCACCCCTTCAAGATGTGGAGACTGATTAAATCATGGAACATTCTTTCCACTGCATACATAGGAAATCTTTTATAAGGAGGAGGTGAGCCAGATGTGGTAGCTCATGCCTGTAATTCTAGCACTTGGGAGGCCAAGGCAGGAGGATCAGAAGTTCTGGGCCAGCCAGCTAGATGAACTGATGAGCTGACCCAACCGGTAAAGGCCCTCGCTACATAATCCTGGTCACTCTGGTTTGATCCCCAGAGCCCACAAGAAGATGGAAGGAGAGAGCCCATTTTACAAAGTCATCCTCTGGTGTCCACATACATCATATACACTAATAAAAAGTCAGTTTTAATCAAAAGATGTTTATAATCTGTTTTTCCTTAGCACAAAGCATATTACATGCCCGGTGGTGGTGCTGTTGCTGGTGGTGGTGGTGGTGGTGTCGGTGTCGACGGCCGAGGTGGCACACACCTTTAATCCCAGTACCGGGGAGTCTAGGACAGGCTCCAAAGCTACAGAGAAACCCTGTCTTGAAAAACAAAAACAAAAAGCATATAACAGCCGGGCGTTGGTGGCACACACCTTTAATCCCAGCACTCAGGAGACAGAGGCAGGCGGATCTCTGTGAGTTCGAGGCCAGCCTGGTCTCCAAAGCGAGTGCCAGGATAGGATCCAAAGCTACAGAGAAACCCTGTCTCAAAAAAAAAAAAAAAAAAAAGCATATAACATAAAAGTTGCCATCATAAGGTGCATATGAAATATTTCTAGTCTGTGTTTAAATCTGTATGTATAACCATACATTTTAAAGTCTGAAAGTATAAAGTAGCAACAGTTCTAATCATATGAGAACTTTCACTTTCTCCCTTATTCACCTTTATGTTGGAATCTGTTAAGATAAATCAACTTACTTTATTTTTTATTATTCCTTTCCCCTGGCCTATCTCTCCCTGCACAGACAATAGAGCTTTTGTCCCATCATTCACATAATTCTAGAATCAGGTATTGCATGGACATACCTGTTGGCTGCTCATCTGGCCAGTCTTGTCCCTGCTGGGCCCCTCAGCTCTGGCCTCATACACTCCGTTCACATCTTTGCACTTCCTTCTCAAATTCTGCAGAGCCTCTGGCTGTGAGGAGACAGGCGTTTCTTTGGAAATGAGAAACTCAACATTGAACAGCTATATTCCTGCCTCTTGACTCCCTGCTGGCAGGTTTCTGCAGCTTCACCTTCAGCAGCAAAGAGAGGCGAGGAGGAGAGTTTAGTCTCACGTCCCCTCAGCTCCAGCCATGTTCTTGGATGTTCCCCCTCCTGCTGGTGTTTCCAGTGCAGCCTTTTTATGTGGCAAAGTAGTGAAGGAACAGAAAACGTAATTAGTCCTGGCTCGGGCACTACATGGCAACTACTCAGCCTGATTTTTTTTTCTCTGCAAAATTGGAATAAATAATTAACACTACATCTGTGTCTTATGATTGTCAGAGATTACATGAGAAAATGAGGGGAAAGCTTTGAAAACATAAGTTGCAATAAAAACATAAATGCCTCTATTTTTCTGAATGTAGTGTTTTCAGATTTGTGTTCTGCTCTTATGTCTACATACTTGCTTCTACATCTGCTTATTATGGAATAACAGTTTAATAGGAAGATAAGAGATATTGAAAAACTTTGAAAGGCTACTTCCTAAAAACAACCTAAGAGGGCTGGAGAGATGGCTCAGCAATTAAGAGCACTTGACTGCCCTTCCAGAGGACCCAGGTTCAATTCCCAGATGCCACATGGCAACTCACAACTCTTTGTAACTCCAGTTCCAGGAGATCCTACAATGTCTTTTGGTCTCTGAAGGCAAGCAGGCATGTATGAAGGCACAGACAAACACACAGTTGAAGCATGTATACATAAAATAAAAATATTAACGCCTAGGGAAGGGAGAAGGGAAGCAGTGAGACTTGTCTTCTCTTCATCTGCTCTGTTTCCCCAGTGGACACGCTCTGCTTTTTTTTTTTTTTTTTTCTTTAGTTAGGGAAACCAATACAGATTTTTAAATGGCTTAAGACAATATAGTCACACTAGAAATAGTCATTGGAAGTCACTCACACAGAGGTCGACAGCTGGGGCAAAGAGAACAGGGGATTTAGAAAGATAAGCAACTGTGAAAACAGCTTGATTGGCAAATCGGGACCATGTTGTTAAAACTATTGAATGTCAGGCCAATGAGCTTTTAAGTGGTGGAAGCCATTGAAGGGTCTTGAGCAAAGGACTACTGTGATCAGTAATGTGATTCTCAGAACAGTGTTTTAGGAATAATGAAAGTGGATGAGATGGCTCAGGCCTTGACAGCTAGCTGTCCTGATTCTAATCCCCAGAATCCATGTAAAGGTGGAAACAAAGAACCAACTCCTTCCACATGTATGCCATGGGCACACACACACACACACACACACACACACACACACACACACACACACACACACACACACACACGCACGCACTTTTTTTTTCATTTTTATTTTTAGCTTTATCCATTTTACACAAACTTTTTTTGGAAAAAGAATAATGCATAAGATGACTTGAAGAAGAAAGAAAGACAAAACTATATGTAGTCAGTCATGGTAGTGACATTGAGGCTTCGATGGAAAGACCTTGAGTTCAAGGCCAGTCTGGGCTATACAGGAAGTCACTGTCTTTAAATTACATTACTGTTTTGTAGAAAGTGTTATATTCCATTTCCAATTGGTTTGACAGAGGTCTAAATGGAAAGAGGGTGAGTCAGGGAGAACCACAGTCGGGTCTAAGAGAGGCAGCAGCTTGTAAGAAAATAATAATGGCATTGGGTTATAACCCCAATTACAGGTATTAATCCACACTGACATACATAAATGGTTAAATAAACAAAGGAGAAGGGACAAATACTCCTTTTAGAAGAATTCTAATTATATATGTACATATATAATTTCATAAAATATAATTAATTAAAGTTTTATATTTGTAGAAAATGAGAGAAATAAAAATTACAACTGAAACATCATAGTAACAATAGCTGCTGTTATGATTCACTGACTGCTAAATCTAGAGGGTGACACTTTAAGCAGATCCAAGATATTTGAATAGTTATATGACATGCTTATGTATTAATTACTGTTGTAGTTTTAAACATGTATCTATCCTCACTTTCTTTGATACTCCTCTCTCTAGGAGATGGAATCTAATTCTCTTCCCCTTGAATATGGGCTGGACTAAGTGACTTGTTTCTGATAAAGAGAAAACAGTATGACAGAAATAGTAATTTCACAATAGAGAGACCTGTCAAGTGCCACTCTAAGTGATGAAGATTAATCCCACTGGCAGTGAGACCTGTAACTCCCAGTGTGCCATCACAAGCACATACACCTCCAGTGTATTCTCCCCCACAATTTATATAACCTGAACTAGCTACAAGAACCCTTAGGCAGGGGCTGGAGAAATGACTCAGCAATTAAGATGAGTTAACTGAGGACCCAGATTGAATTCCAAGCCCCTACATGGTGGCTTATAGCCATCTATAACTCCAGTTCAAAGGGCTCCATCGCCATCTTCTGGCCTCCTCGGGTACTGCATGCTCATTATGCACATACATACAGTCAGACATAAAGGAATAAAATAAAGCAAAGTTTTAAAATGAAACATTAGGCAAACGAAAAAGACATTCTAGGAAATGCTTGACCAGGCATTTTCTTGATCTCAAAAATCAAGAAAAGGATCCTAGTATAAAAACTGTAGAAATTTACATCAACTGTGTAGTTTAGTTAATAGCAATGTTCTAGTATTAACTTCTTAGAGTTGATCATGTACCATAGTTAAATAAGATGTTACCATTAGGGGAAACTAGATGAAGAACTGTCTGAATTACCCCAGAGTGTAAGTATAGCATTGTTTCAGGGCTGGTAAAGATGGCTCAGCAGGGGAAGGCACCTGTTGCCAAACCCAATAAACTGAGTTTGACCCCCCAGGATTTACACAATAGAAGGAGAGAACCAACTTCTGGAAGTGGTCCTCTGACTTCCACATGATCACTGTAGCACACTGCCCACTCCCATAAACAAATAAATGTAATTTTACAAGATTTTAATTATTTCAAAATGATTAAATTTAAAAATATCCCCACCACCTGTGTGTGTGTGTGTGTGTGTGTGTGTGTGTGTGTGTGTATGTATGTGTATGTTTATGTGTGTTTAGTGTGTTTTCCTAGAAGACTGCTGTTAACAAGATAAGGACAGCTGAAAGGAAAAATGAAGACTATATGTAGCAAGCTCCAGGCCAAAATGGGTTACACAGTCCATTAAACAAAAACTGCGGGCGTTGGTGGCGCACACCTTTAATCCCAACACTCAGGAGGCAGAGGCAGGTGGATCTCTGTGAGTTCAAGGCCAGCCTGGTCTCCAGAGTGAGTGCCAGGATAGGCTCCAAAGCCACAGAGAAACCCTGTCTGGGGAGGGGGGAACTGAAAAGAAAATAGAGTTTCCAAAAATATCTAATCAGCACTTCCAATGATTCTGAAACTGAGGAACAGTCACCTAGGAAAAGGCCACTGCAGCAAAGTACGCTGAGAAGTTCCTTCCTCCTGGTGTGTGGTGTCTGCAGACAGCAGCCTGGTTGGGAGTGTACACAGCCTGTTGCCTATGGGGTTGCCCTAAGGGACCTTAAAGACAGTTTCCTGTGGCCTAGTCATGCATCTGGTCTCAATGCTTTTCCTGTATGTAGGCTTCAGGCAGTGATGTGGATGCCTTTGGGGAGGCCCAGGGCACAGTGGCCTGGGTTCACATTGGCCAGGTCATCATGTCTGTCCTCACCAAACTGCAGAATAAGGAGCATGTGACCGAAGCCCTGCTTCAGGTTTAATCGAGATGAGCTTGAAGAGATACTACTTGAAAAACAGCTCATCCCTAATACTGTGGAGTCGAGTATATTCCAAGTTGTGGTCCCCTAGACAAGGGGCAGGCCCTGTACTCCCAAGGAATTCATTGTACTGCCCTATACCCTCCCAAATCATGTTCAGTAATAAATCTCACTTCTTGTGGGCATTTGGATAAAGGGCCACTGGATTTTTAACAAGGACCTTGGCACTGGCCCCAAGAGTTAGCAGAGGGGCTAGGGAGATGACTTAAAACATATGCTTATGGAGGACCTGAGTTTGTTTCCCACCACCCACATCAGGCACCTCTCAACTGCTTATAATGCCAGCTCCAAGGAGATGCAGGACCTCTTGCCTGCAGCCTCCATAGGCACCTGCACTTGCATGTACACACACACACACACACACACACACACACACACACACGTATAACTAAAGATGAGAGAAGACAAGAAGGAATGGAGAGTGTACACACGAGTCAAGGTGCCAGGACTCAGTGCAGAAACCCTTGCCAACACTAGGCAAATAGACTAATAGAAGAGGCTCCTAGGGAGCCAAGCATGGCGGCACATCCCAGCACTCAGAAGGCAGAGGCTGATCTTGAGTTTGAAGTCAGCCTGGTCTACAGAGCAAGTTCCAGGACAGCCAGGGCTACATAGAGGGGAAAAAATCTCCTAGGGGAAGGAGGAATGGATACTCATAAACAAAGAGACAAGCAATGATGTCCAGAGCAATAAGCCCAAGGGCTGAGCCCAAAGTGCAAGAAGAAATGCCTTTGACCAAAAAGATGCCTCTGCCACCTATCTGTAGCCAAACTCAGGCTAAAAGCTAGAGGCCAGTGGGGCAGTGGTGGCACACACCTTTAGTCCCAGCACTTGGGAGGCAGAGGCAGAGGCAGGAGGATCTCTGTGAGTT